TGATTGCAAGACTTAAAAAGGAAAGGGATGAAGCCAGGTCATTACTTGCACAGGCTGAAAGGCAGGCACCCTTGCCAGCAACGGCAGTTACTGCCAATGTTTCTGCTCTTACCAATGGAAAGAGAGGTTCTTTCTCGGTACCCTTTTTGTTGTGAAAATTGTCCAAGAAACAATAAAGATAAAACTTAGAGAAATTAAGCAAACAAAAAACCACAAGAATTTATGTACATCCACGGAGTGAAACTGTTCTTCTATTATTGAAAAATTAAAGTATAATAAATTGAATTTTATGGTTCTCCAAACCAACCCAAGATCTCTTGCACATCTTTTTTCAATAACCTCCCAAGAACACTTACCCAAGCTCCACGAAGAGCAAGTTACAAGGGGTTACATCTCTAGAGCTCCTTAAGCACTAGGCACACTTCTAAAGTCTAAAGATTCACTTTTATAATATAAAAGTCCAAAGTAGAATGGGATTTAGACTCGATGTGGAATAAGAAGTTTAACATCATACAACTACTCAATGTTGTACACAAACAAAAATCCTAGTCAAATAAAATCTAAAATTATAGTCAACCTAAAACTTAACACTTATCATCAATGTTTGTTTATCTCTAACTAAGGTATTATCTTATTTGAGATTTTCTTTTGTGATCATAGCTGCAGAGGATGTAGATATGGGGCCTGGGGCAAAGAGAATGCGTCCTGGGATTTCTGATAGTATTATTGCTGAGTTAACAGAATGTAATGCAGCTCTGTCACAACAGCGTAAAAAGCGCCAGGTACTCTTCATCCATTATCTTTTGATTAATTCCAAGTATCTTTTTGCAGATAACATCTTCATATCATTTTTGAGATCTGTTCCCTCCAATTTTTTTCTTGTGTTTTCTCTTCAGATACCTCCGACATTGGCTCCCATTGATGCTTTGGAGAGGTATACTCAACTTTCTAGTCATCCCCTTCACAAGACAAACAAACCAGGGATCACTTCAATTGATATCAATCTTTCAAAGGTGTGTTGCTCCTTTTAGTTAAATCCCTTTCATGAAACTAAACTTTGTATACACCTCTCTAGGCAATCCTTTTGGATGTTGCATATTGAGGACTTGATATTTACTTGCCAAAATAGATCTGTTAGAAACAAGGTTTGAATGTTAAATTTGGAAATTATGTAAAGGCTATTTCCAAGATTATAGCTAAGTTCAATTTTGTTGATGTAAGACTAGCTATTTCCTATCTTTTCATTATATTTTAATGCCATATCGATCCAGCCTATGTAGCAGAAAAACCTATGCCAGTTGCCTGTCTATTGACTGCATTTTTTTGCTTTTGGAGGAGTACAAACTGCCAAGTGGATTTATCTAATGCTATAATCACTGAATTACTGTATATTATGGAAATCTGTTTTACAGATAACATTGCAAGATGTAAATTGGTATAGGATCTGGATTTTATGTTTATACTATTCTTCAAAGCTTGTCCATTTACATCCTTTTACTTCTGGTTGTCAGGATATTGTGGCCACAGGAGGAATTGATTCAAGTGCTGTACTCTTTGATCGAACATCTGGAGAGATCTTATCAACGCTTAGTGGTCACTCTAAGAAGGTTTATTCAGTTTTGTCTGTTTTGTTCAAGTGCTGCTGTTGTTTTCATTTTCTTTTGAAATTTATTTTCTGACTACATTCTTCTTGGGTAGGTTACAAGTGTAAAATTTGTAGCTCAGAACGATGCATTTTTAAGTGGATCAGCAGATAAGGTAAGCCAATTTCTCAAGTCTCAAGTTCCAGTTTTTGTTCCTCTTTGGTGATCCTTATTTATGTTTATGCTCCATAACAGATGTTTTTTAATGGGATATAGTGTCGGCATCTTAATCATTTAATTATAACTAAACTGGTCCATATTTTATTTTTGTTTTAGCTTGCGTCTCAATTTGATTGGTTTTTGAATGTTGCAGACTGTTCGCATTTGGCAAGGGTCTGAAGATGGAAAGTATGATTGCAGGCATATTTTGAAGGATCATACAGCTGAGGTGAATATATGCTTGAATCCACATATGCTATGATTATCAAATTCTGATTCTGGTTTATTTGCTGTCTTGTGAACATAAGAATAAATCTACCTTCTACTCTTTCAGGTGCAAGCTGTCACAGTCCATGCCACAAATAACTACTTTGTAACTGCTTCCCTTGACACAACATGGTGCTTTTATGATCTTTCCTCTGGCATATGCTTGACACAGGTCCTAACATCTCTCTCTCTCTCAGATCTGTAAGGTTTTCCATTACAGTGAACATTTTGGTTTCTCCTGAAGTAAATGGAGTAGTTGGTCTCTTACTAAGTAACAGTAACTTTTATATAGTATTTGGATCTCTTTAATTGACCCTGAATAGTTAGTTCTTTATAATAAATGAAACTCGTGTTTAATTGATTTATGAAGTTGTCAGAAGGTAAAATGTGAAGTTTTAATGGTGTTGCATGGTCAATAGTGTTATTTGGACTGTTAGTAGTTTCTTGTGAATTTCTATCATGTATTCAAATTTCCCCTAAACGTCTTAAGGACTTTCAATGGAAATATGTAGTCATCATTTTCGTTTCTGGTGAGGCTGATGGCAAAATGATTTTTTTTATCTTGAACCTAATTTCTGTTTCATTTATTTTGAAGAGGATAACCTATAATAAGAGTCAGATTTTTATTTCTGCAGGTTGAAGACCCTTCAAATTCCATGGGCTATACATCTGCTGCTTTTCATCCAGATGGTCTCATCCTTGGGACAGGCACCACAGAAGCTACTGTTAGAATTTGGGACGTGAAGAGTCGGGTATGTAGAAACTATGTTAGGAGACCAGAACTTACGTTTTCAGATATTTTCTTCCCTTGTTTTAAAGCCACTTTCTCTTCTTTATTTTATTACCTCTACAGGGAAATGTTGCCAACTTTGATGGTCACACTGGGGCAGTAACTGCCATATCTTTCTCAGAAAATGGTTACTTCCTTGCAGTAAGCACTTCTTATCCAAATGTGTTCGTTAGCTTGATGGCTGTGAATTCTGTAATCTGATTTATGTTTTAACTGCAGACTGCTGCACATGATGGTGTTAAGTTGTGGGATCTGCGCAAATTGAAGAACTTCCGATCATTTGAATTATATGATCAAGACACACCAACTAACTCTGGTATGTAATATCTTTATAAGAGACCCCTGCATGGCTATATATGTAGCTTGTCTTCTATTGGCTCACTCTCAGGAGCAAGCAATATTTCTGATTTTTTTGACATAATACTTCCATTTACTGTTTTGTCTAGTAAACTGGTATTTCCTATATACTCCCAGCTTTCCTCAGTAGCAACTTCAGATTTAAACTTAAATTAGAAAGTGAATGAGCAAAGTGTACTTTCTTGCGATCAGAGTTGGCAATAATGAAGAGCTGGGTTTAGCAGCGCAGCTTTAATTCTGTTTTTTTTTTTTTTCAGTGGATTTCGACCATAGTGGAACTTACCTTGCAATTGCAGGCTCAGATATAAGGTAGGTGCTCTTAAGGCCTCTGTGTACAGTCTTGGCATAGGATAGTTCTCTGGACAAAAACTTCAATTGGATTTACAGTCTGTTGTATGTAAATGAATTTCAATAGAATGCTTAAGAAACTGTCTGGAGATTTTTTTGTGTGATAACATTTGACACGTCTTAACCAAAATTTAAAGAATTATTAATAGTACACTTGTCAGAAATCTTATGTCCTCCCTCTCTCTCTAGTCTCAAAAGCTCATCTTCACCATTATATTATTTCAAAATTTCTTTTCCCATGTTGCTTGTTGGTACCGATTTAATTTTGTGCTTCCAGAGTTTACCAAGTTGGCAGTGTCAAAGCAGACTGGAATTGCATCAAAACTTTGCCTGATTTGTCTGGCACAGGTTCATCTTCTCTTCCCTCAAGTAGATTATTATTTCTGATTGTCAGTTGAAGTTGAAGGGCCTTATTCTCATCCATTTGCAGGTAGAGCAACTTGTGTAAAATTTGGTCCAGATGCAAGGTACTTGGCGGTGGGATCAATGGATCGCAACCTCCGCATATTCGGTCTTCCTGAAGATGATCCTTCAACTGAGTCATAAAAGGCCTTCTGTTTGACATATATGGGAGGAGTCCTGGCCCTGAACTCCCTTGCAATTGCTAATTGTGACTGTTATTGTTTCATGGTTGAAGTAAAACGCCAGATTTTGAGGTCCATTTAATCTTAGTTTTGTGCTTTTGAGGCTAGGGCATGAATGTCTTCTACAAGTTTTGGCCATTCCTTTCCTCCAGCAAGTGTATGTGCCGGTGTATCATCTAAATCTTTGAAGAAATGAAAGCCAGCCAGTCAATCATGTGTTACTTTATCAGAGAGAACATAGACACAATTTTCAACTTCTAGATTTGTAAACGTCGCTAATGGGAGTTTCCTCTACCAGCCTACGCTTGATTGGATTTTTATTTTAATTTTTTGTCATTGTGTAGCCATCTTAACTGTTTATTTGTATACTGAGAGTGGATGGTATCTGTTGTTCTTATGAACCATTATTCATGCTGGCTAATCGGCCTAGACGTTCTTTCCCGCACCCTGTGGTAAAAAATTCCCCATTCTCGTTGCCACATTCCTCATTGATGGCTTACTCGCCTGAATAATCATGCGTTTAGGGAGAATGGATCGTCCATGGCTGCCATAAATGACTTTATCAAACACAGCTGAGGTACACGTTCAGAAAGAAAGTGAACAACGGCACTTCAATTGACACTTTGAGAATAACTTTTCAAAAACCCTATAATTTAACCTGCAAGCAATTTGCCATTACATGCAACCTTTGCCCAAAACTGAGGGCAAGGCAGGGATGGTACAAGGTCAAAGAATAAAGAATGGCAACATAAATACTTCCTCAATGATACAAGAATCACACATGACCTACAAATCTCAGCCTTCCTTCAGTTGGAAGTATTGTGACGCATGCGTGAATCCCCAGAGCTGCACAGTTAGAAGCACATGCAATACAAATATACCATCAGACAATGGGTTAAAAAGGGAGAAAACCTGCAAAAATTTCAACTTGATAAATCTAAAGGAAAGATGATTGATCCAAAAATGTAAACAGGATATTGACGAGAAATGCACAGGGATTCCTTGTCAATGATACTCCAACTCATTGTTAAATTCAATCAGCATCCAATCAGATAATTACTCGTGTTTTCGTCTTAAACTCAATGTTGGGATATAGATAAATCAGAAACTGAAATTGGTCAAAGGAAGCTATAATTACCTCGACATTCTTTAGCTCAAAGTCTTCATTATGAGCCAAACATAAGTTTCCAAATGTTTCACAAGGTCCGCTAGTTCCATTTAATCTATTGTAACGAGAAAATAACTATCATGAGAAAAGAATATAGAATATTTATAAGAAAAGACTAGTTGGCAGAACTCTAACAGGGGAAACTGCAAATTGGAACTTACAGATCTCCATCCAAGCACAAAGCAAAATTACCACCACCACCAAGTGCTAACAAGTCATTCAAACACATATAATAATAACGATTGGCACCTGTTTAGATAAATATGACACAAGATCAGACTCCATAATTGCATGGAAAATCATTCAACATCAGCTAAAGCAAACCAAACCATGTCAACATCAGCTCAAGCAAACTAAATCCATATCTTTCAAACAGCAGGCATACAGTAAATCAATCTTTCTCTTTATCTATCCCACGGTTACATGTGTAGGCAGTAAGTACCCATTTGTCTTGACATGCTCACTATCTAAGATATAAGATACATTAAATACTTTGACAAAGTTGCATACCGGTTGGTCTAAATAGCCTTGGTTCACCATATATGGTTGTGAATACAAATGTCTGGTTTGTTCCCTGACACAAACGACAGAAATCTAATAAGGTGGCTGAATCGTGCTTTACATAGTGAGAAATGAAAGGATGTAGAGAAACACGGCAAACGTGCAAAGAATCAGAAAGACAAACCAAGTCAACACGTAAATAAAACCATATTCATAACTTAAACAGTCTCTTAGCTTACTTGATATTTTCTCTTTGGTGTAGGTTTCAAGGGGCATTCTAGCATTGCACCAAAGACAGCTCCTTGCCTATCTCCAGTAATCTAGAATTTGTACAACACCATGCAATTAATCCCAAGGTATTAAATACTAATTAAGCATTGTAAAATTCAGATAGACAACCTCCAATGACAATAGCACTCGTTAATATATAAACATCAGCATACCAGCAAACAAGGACCAGGAAGCTCGGCACTCTTACGAGTAAGAGTACGAAGTGATATACCATCTTTCAACGTACTGCCCTTCATTTGAAAGAGTAAATACCAAATCAAAATCCAAAATCAAATGTACAAAGCAGCTTTCACCAAAGAACTGCAGAGTTTATTGCAAGACTTACCTATACAACAACACCCATTGACGCCCTTTAACAATATTGGGAAGGGAAGACACCAAGAATTCATACAAATCGCAGTTAATAAACACAGATTCATCAGCGAGATTTGGTGAAGACTTTACTGGACTCTGTTGCTCTCTTGCTTCTTGAAATTCATCGGAATCACTGCTGCTCCTTTCAGAGGCACGGTCCTTTTCCTCACCACAAGGACTAACTGTTTGCTTAATGTCATTATCTGTCCAATTGCTCTTCTTATCTTGACAAACCTTTTTTATGTCTTCACTGGTATAAGTAGCAGTGTATTCTTCACATCTATCCAGGGGTTCATCTTGCACCTCAAATGTCTTATTTTTCCATCTAACAGGATGTGACTGAATTGGCTTGAGATCATGATCATTCGATTTAGACCCACCTAAGCTTACTGAAGGGATAATGAAAGAAAAAACTGAAGACAATGATTTTGAGCCTTTGGAATACCATCTGGCCTACACATTCAAAATTTTCAAGTCAGAAAATCACTTTCACTAAAATTTCACAAGTAAATTTGAAACTTAAAAGGAAATGAAGTTACTGACTCTTTCCAACACATACTTAGGCGTAGGTGGAACATAAAATAAAAAAAATGAAACTTGAAATAAAGATAATTAATTTGATGCCAATCCAGAAAAACCACTTCTAAAAGTTTTATAATTGAAACTTCAAATCGGAAAAAAAACACATTAGGCCAAAACAGTGTGTGTGCATATATATAAGCTTCATGAGAAAAGATTACATTATTAATCTGTTTTCCTTTCTTGCATAATCTAAGCTACCAAACACAAAGTTATATGTAGTGAATCAAATATAAAAAAATATAATCACCCAAATCAGCAAATATTTCAAAGATCATAAATTGTAAAAAAAAAAAAAAAAAACCCCCAAATTTTCAGCTGCCCGGGTTAAAAAAGATCACAAAAGATATGAATATAACATTTAGCTAACATAACTAGATTTCCCATCAATGACCCAGATCTAGCTTCCCTAAAAGTTCCCAAAAGGAAAAAGCTTTTCTTAGTGATAAATACATAAATAAGGAAAAAAAACAAAGAAATCACCTGAGAAAGATCAGATGCAGAAGAAGCAGAAGAATGATTCGGTGAATCTGCAAACAAACGTGAAAGACTTCCCGCTACTTTATCTTTCAATGTGTACATTTTCAATATATTTTTTTAATAAATAATTTCAAATGATTTACTGTTAACCCATAAACGTAAACAAATAAAATAAATTGCGTGTGAATTTGAAGCAAAAAAAAAAAAAAGACAGGGTTTTCTTTATTTCTTTTTTTTGGGTTAGAACTTATAGAAGAAGAGGAAAGGAGAGAGATGTCGGTGGGAAAATGGGGAAGAAAAAGAGAGAAAAGGGATCGAAGGTGAGGTGTTTGGCTTTTGCTTGTTTTATGGACAAAATGAAGTTGTATTTATATGTATCTCTCCTTCTTCCCTTCATGTCTTGGATTGGCAGCTTCTCACTACCCATGGTTTCTCTTTAGAATTTTGGACTCTCTCTTAACTTGAGGATCTTCTTCCTTTCTTTAATTCTATGAAAAATCATGGATTAAATCACAACCTTTCATTCTTCACAAATGAATGGTCATGATCTCCTTGAACATTTTTCTTTGTTTTTTCTTCAAATTATAGATATGATTATATAAAACGAACTGTATTCATGTTGACTAGTAGAATTTAAATACCTAATCGTCCATGCATAAGACAAATTTTTTATAATTTTTCCTCAAAAAGGGGTATTTAATTATAGAGTGAAAGTTTTGATTCTTTAACAGATATATATTAATTATATTAATTAATTAATTAATCTAATAATAAATAATTTATCTTTGAAAAGGAAAGGTTTGAGTTTAAATGTAACATTAATTTCTTAGAAGTTTTGTTTTGGGTGATGAATTAGCTTGCAATATGTTGGGTAGGTTAAATGTCAAGCATAAGAAGTTAGGAACTACTAATCAACTCATAATCAAGGTTCTTAACTATCTATAAGTAAACATATCAAGATCCGAAAAAGTCTCTTATTATTATATTTTTATACATCACTTCAGTATTCTCTTTTATATGTAATAAATACATATATATATCATATTATACAAATCAATAAACAATATCAATGAATAGGGATATCATCTGCTTTAAAATTATATTAAATTTGTTTTAAAATGGATGTTTAACTTAAAATCAATCAATAATAAATGAAAAGACCATTGTTGTAATTATATATTTAAAATATTTTTAATTTAACAATGTGTGATTTTTTTCTCATAAATAACAATGTTACTATATTAATCATATTTAATAGTTACATTGTAACATTAAAAGTATACACTGAAAGTAACAAACATGAAGAGGATATTGACAATAGTAAGACTCTTAACATCTAATAGTCCAGCTTGCTGTTGACAAGATTAGGTGAAGAAGACCTCTTAGCAAACTTTTCTATTGATAATACTTAATCTTGGACATTCATCTTTTAAGATTTTCAACTACATTTCTAGGTATGTTTGGTGTTCAAGGAAACCATATAGCAGCCACCAGCTACTTGGAGGAAACAAAAAGTAGAGATTTGTAGTTGTATTATTTTATGTATTGTTGTAGTTACAAAGGGGTTTGTCTGTTGATTCTCTGTCATGTGTTCATTCAGAAAATACAGCAATAAAGAAAGCTGGCATGGAGCTATAGAGTTGAACACAATCTGCCAGGGGGAAGCAGTTGCAGTTGCAGTTGCAGACTGATTCTCTTTAGGTGGTTTGGCAAGAGTTCCAGGCATTTTAGCATGGGTTTTTCCGTACTTACCCCATCATAACTTGCTTGGCCCCTTTTTTCTTTTTCTGTAAGGAGAAAGCAAGCCCAAGTGTCCTGCATCATTTCTAAGCCCAAGTAGCCACATTGTTTCTTAGTTGAGCCATGGGTTTTGCCTTCAAATGCACCTCACCTTCATTACTCTTGCCATTGTAAAGAGAGAACAAAAGCAAATGCTGCTTGAAGAAGATCTGTTTTCTGTCAATTCTATAAATTTTCAAGCTTCTTCATCTGCATAATTATGAAAGCTTTCATGCATTTCTTACCACTTGAGTAAAAGTTTCCATAATTTATACTAACTTCATTGAAAAAAAGGACTACTACTTGCAGCCTTGAGAGCCTCTTCGGCTCTTACATCTTGACCTGGATCCACACGTTAATGTCATGAATCTAGGCTGAAATAACGCTCCCCTCTTTGAAAAAAGGATCTTCAGTTTTGAAATGCCCACCTTTAGCTACTCTGAAATCCAAAAAAGATGTGAATGCCATTATGATTGATGAATGAGCTTCTCTAAGCTTTGGGAAGAAAACAAAAAGCAGGAGCCAAACATAATAAAAACCAGTGCTGCTGGTTGTCAAGACTGGAATGATGCTGACAGATTTATTATATTCACAAAACTATGCAACATGATTATGAGCAAAAGAAACACAATAGAACCTTCAAAATAATGAAGACAGGGTTAAAGTGCTTGACTTCCAACCTCAGTGGCTGTTAAATAGTGAAAAACAGAAGTCAGAAATATATAAACAATTGGCTTGTTTGATTGCTAAAATGGATAGGAAAAGTGACAGTCAAATCCCAGTCTTGGATAGATGCTAATTTAAATAGAACAAGTTTGCCAAGAAATTTGAAGTCATCAGAATAATCTGATGTATTTGTCTGATATCAATCAATCCAACCGCAGACATTATACTTATAACATGTTGTACTGTTTGACAAAAATAAAATGACTGTGCAGAAGCATAAATATGTACCACTACAGTAGTTTATCAAGAAATCAACCTACCAAACTAACTTAGCCTTCAAGTTAATCAACCAATGCTAAGATGCCAGCTATGAATGACTCGAGGTTTTGTCAAGTGGTTTTTCTTATGTTTGTCAATTCATTAGACACATGAGAGGCTGCCATTTTCTTGAGGAAAAAAAATGGGTAGAAAAGAATAGTTTCAATTAATGCATATTAAGAGCATCACTTTTTTCATATGCAAATCCAGGCCCTATGTACCCTAAGAAATGAGGTCCCCCAAAAAACTTACTATTACCAATCTTTAATCACTGGGCATTGCATTCAAAGCAGCTCTCAAGTAAGATATGCTTCAGTCAAACTTCATGCCACTTTCCCCCCACAAAATCAGATTCCTGTACATACATACCTCCTTACCATCTTTTAAAGAAGGGAATATTGCTTCTACTATTCAAGTTTATTTTATCTTAAATCCATTTTGTTGTCATTCCCTTGAAAATTAAAAAACTTGTTTAATCAGTTTGAGCATTTCCATAAATAATATTTCTCTATTATCAATTGTGTAGTGCATTGTACTCTCTCTTGTAAGGGGCAAAAGATAAACCCCTCTCTCTCTCTCTCTCTTTCTTTCTCATCTGTGCACAGCTTCTGAGGTAGGCCATCCAAAAAAGTAAAGGTGAAAATCCCAAATACCACAAAACCACAACCAGAACCAAAGCTCTTTTCCAATGGTGAAGCTGCAGAAACCAAACCAAACCCAAGGACGTCAGAAAACACAAACCTTTTAATCTATGTGCAGTTTAGCTAAAACCCACTAAGCACCTACAGATCCCTACAAAAACTGCAAGGAAACTGCCATGATTTGATCCAACAATACCACCCCAACAAATGGGTTTTGGTTTTTCTTCAAAACCCTTTTTTCTTTTCCTCTCATTTCTTCTCTTGTTTACCAATCTTGAAGTTTCTCAACTAGTTGAATCTGCTTCTGATTACACAACCTTGGTCTATAAAGGTTGTGCAAAGCAGGCTTTCACAGATCCAGCTGGGATATACTCACAGGCCCTGTCTGCCTTGTTTCAAACCTTGCTTTCACAATCCATGAAGGTAAAGTTTTACAAGACAACAACAGGCACTGGTCAAACTACCATTACCGGTCTTTTTCAATGTAGGGGAGACCTCAGCAACAGTGACTGTTACAACTGTGCCCGCCAGCTCCCAACTTTAGCTAACAAACTTTGTGGCAAGACAATAGCTGCAAGAATCCAACTTTATGGCTGCTACATGTTGTATGAAGTTGCTGGATTTGCTCAAATTTCAGGAATGGAAATGCTTTTCAAGACCTGTGGTGCTACAAATGTTGCTGGTTCTGGATTTGAAGAGAGGAGGGATACAGCCCTTTCAGTTTTGGAAAATGGAGTGGTTAGTAGCCATGGTTATTATACCACTAACTACCAATCTGTTTATGTTTTGGGGCAATGTGAAGGAGATGTTGGAGATTCAGATTGTGGAGAGTGCGTAAAGACTGCTGTTCAAAAAGCTCAGGTTGAATGTGGGAGTGCAATCTCTGGTCAAATCTATCTGCATAAGTGCTTTATAAGTTACAGTTATTATCCTAATGGGGTTCCTAGAAGATCTTCATCATCTTCATATTCACACCCTTCTTCATCTTCATCAGGTAAATAGAAATTGGTTCCCTTGCTTTCTCGTAGTAATCGATTTTGAGTTTTTGTTACGCTGATTACTTGCCCTTTTAGTTGTAGAAGAGTTCTGTCCTAATATAGATTAATGACTTCAAAATATCTTGCTTCAGGATTAATGACTTCTAAATGGTTTATTAGAAAAAAGTGGATGCAAATTAATTGACTGGAGATCTTTTTGATTGATGTAGGGACAGGGCAAAATACGGGAAAGACAGTGGCTATAATCTTAGGAGGGGCAGCAGGAGTGGGATTCCTTGTCATTTTGTTGATGTTTGCCCGGGGTGTGCTGAAGAAACGTGATGGTATACGTGTCTGAGATTCAAAAAATTGATCTGTATTCTGTATACCTGCTTGTTGTTGTTGTATGGAAGTTGGAAGTATCATTTTTTCCTTTGGGTTTTTGTGATTTGCTGATATGCATTTATTTATCTTTCTTTTCAGATTCTTGAAGGACAGAGTTCATTTAAAGGTGGATTCTTTCTAGTAGAAAATTTCTTTCCTTGTTTTGAAATTTGATATGGGTTTTCTGGTGAATATAATTGGTGAAGAAAGAGAGTCAGATTAAAGTAAGTGGAAGTGGGATTTTGCTGTTACAGTTAGGTAAGAATTTGACGATCAGAGAAAGCATTAGCCATTAGGGGGGGAAGGGCATGCAATGTAAACATGAATTTTTTCACAAAGGTGAAAAAGAGGATATTGTAAGGAACTATAAAAGAATTAATGTTTTGTCATCTTGAATGGATGAAAGAGAAGGAGATTTTGAGCAATGGGTTTTGGCAATTTGGCCCCCTTTTGTGTTTTCCCTGGCCATGTGGGTGTTTGTCTTTTTTCTCCCTTCTCCAGACTAATGCTTCTCCATTTCCTTTATATCTTTATATCATTATATGCTTTTTATAAAGTAGTTCCCTGCCTCACACACACTCTCTCTCCATACTGTTGAAATCTTTTGGATTTTCTAATTGGAGTAAACCATGATGCTTCCTTTATTTGTTTATTTTTTCTCCTTCTTTTGCTTTTAATTTGAATTATACACTCTTATAGTCTTTTTCCGTGCTAATACTTAAATAATTTCAGAAAAAAAATGGTTGGGTAGAGTTTCTAGAAAATGTTGCCCTATATTGAGCAGAATCATCATTAATTTTTTATTGTAGTACTTTTGTAGTAGTGCTTGTCCATGTTAAGTTCTCTCACATGACATAGGATACAGGCTGCAGACAATGATGTATTGTATTTAACATTTTTCGTTCTTTTCAAGCTAGTATTATTGATCTTTTTAAGAATTTTCCTTCCTTTTCTCTTTTTCCCTTTTCTAGTCTCTTCCTCTTTTCTCCTTTGAGTTAAGCCCAAGTTGAGGACCTAAAACCACATCCAGTAATTGACCTTAACCACTGTTGGGGTTGTCCAAAGAAGTCATAATCAAATGATTTTGTTTACAAATTCTTTCATGCTACCTTATTTTTCCTTGCTCAATTCCAAATTCTCTGTCTAAAGAGCAAAAGAATGAAGAGCTAGCTTTAATTACCACAGTTTGGAAGCATTGTCAATTGTTGTCTTTTAGAGCAAAGACCTGGCTGGCAAGTTGCTTGCTGCCTTTATCACCCAAATTTTAGAAGGGAAAAATGTCATTTGCTCTCTTCATTCTCATCATATATTAATGAGTAGATCACAATTATTGAACAGTTAAATGTATAATTTCAAAGTCAAATTTGTCACATTTAATAAGTTTTGAAAGAAATAGGATGGTGGTTGTGGTGGTAAGGATATTAATTATCTCATCTGTACTGCCTGCTTCCTACTGCTCATCAGTAATTTTTCTCCTTATGTTGTTGCTTCCTTTGCCTCTATTCTTATGAAAAAATTCGGATTAACCAGTAAAAGTTGTATTGATTTATATTCTTGACTTATAGTTCACATTTACAAATAAACTTTTTGGTTTTTTTCTTAAGGAAGAGAAGTCAAGAACATGGAAAGCTGTAAGCCAGTCAGCTGTCTATTTAGACTTTTTTTTTTTTTATAATTGAGGGAGGGGGATTCGAATCTTG